TGAGTTCTTGCACACCCTCCCAGGTGCCCCCTCAGCCCCCTCCCCGATGCCCTCCCATTCTCCCCCATGTGCCAGTTCCTACCCCCCCACCCATTCCCACCTCTCCAGGTGCCCCTTCATTACCCAGGTGTCCCCCCCCCCCAAATGCCCACTTCCACCCCTGGTGCCCCCCCCGTGCCCACCCGTGTATATGGAGGCCTCCCTGGCGGCCACAGGCATGTTGGATGTGTTGGCCACGAGCGCTGTGCGCTTCATGATGGACTCGGTCCGGCCGCCCACCTCCATGGTCAGCTGGGGACAGGGACACCCAGGTCACCTGGGTCTACCCCTGTCACCTCCTGTCACCCCTGTCCACCTTCATGATCAACTGGGGACAGGGGGACACTGTCACCTCCCTGCCACCCCCTGCCCCCTCCGTCCTCCCGTGTTCCCCCTCGCTGTCGCACCTCGGGGAAGTCCCTGAGGACCTCGGACATCTCGTTCCCTCGCTCCCCGCACCCCACGTACACGATGACGTCACTGTTGGAATACTTGGACAGGGATTGGGAGATGACGGTTTTCCCGCAGCCGAAAGCGCCCGGGATGGCCGTGGTGCCCCCCTGGACACACCTGGGGACAGGGACACGGGGGGGACACGGGGGGGACACGGGGGTGGTGGGACCCCTGTCACCACCCTGTCCCTGCCCCCATTCCCGTCCTCATCAACACCCCCGTCCTGTCACCAACCCCCTCCTGTCCCTGTTCCACATCCCCTGTCCCCATCCCTGTCCTCAGTTCCAGTACACCCCCCTCCCCCCGACCCCAATCCCGATGGGAACAGCGCACGCCCCCCACCTCCGATCCCGATCCCAATCAGCAGGAACAACGCATCCCCAAAATCCCCCCCAATCCCCCCGATCCCAATCTCCCACTATCTCTACGGGAACAGCGCTCGCCCCCCGATCCCAACCCAGCTCCCGCTCGGCTCCTACGGGAAGAGCGCGTCCAGGACTCTCTGTCCCGTGAGCAGCGGGTTGTTCGCAGGAAGCTTCTCGGCCACGGGCCGGACCTGCCGGACGGGCCACACCTGGAGCATGGAGAGCTGCTCCCGGAGCCCCTGGAATTCCAGCTCCAGCACCACGTCCTGCGGGAACGGCAACGCGGGATGAGCCGCTCCCCGATCCCCCCGCCTGCCAATCCCGAACCCTGCGGGAACAGCGCATCTCCCCAGTCCCGATCCCAATCCCCCGATCCCGCTCACCGCCACGCTGTAGTTGCCGGGGGGCGCGACATAAGTGACGGTGCCGCGGCTGCGGGGGGGGACCATGAGCCGGTGCTGTAGCAGCGAGTTCTCGGCCACCGTCCCGTAAATGTCCCCTCCCGTCACGTGACTCCCGACCTGGCGCGGGGACAACCGTGAGGGACTCCCGACGGGCTCTGCCCCTCCCGGGGGGAAGCCGAGAAGGGGCGTCCCCGTTTCAACGGGACCCCCGTGTCCCCCACAGCCCCCGTATCCCCCATATCCCTGTGTGCTCAGTGTCCCCCCATGTCCCCACGTCCCCTTGTCCCCGTGTTCCCATGTCCCCTGAGTTCTCCAGTGTCCCCCGTGTCCCCCGTGTCCCTGTGTCCCCGTGTTCCCAATGTCCCCATGTCCCCACATCTCCCATGTTCCCACATCCCGTGTTTGTGTCCCCCAATGTCCCCACATTCCCCATGTCCCTGTGTCCCCATATCCCCTGCATCTCCCAATGTTCCCATGTGCCCCATGTCCCTGACAGCCAGTCTGGGGGGACAGGGAGGGGAGAGGACAGGGGCAGAGGATTGGGGGGACAGTTTGGAAGATATGGGGAGGGGAGAGAAGGTCTAGGGGATAGGGAATCGATACGGGGACAGGGGGCCCGGGGGTAACACACCCTAATGTCCTTGCTGGGGACAAAGTCCCAGGTGAGGTGTCGAGGCAGTGCAGGGACGTTGGTGCCCCGGGGGATGTAAATGCTCCGTGTGGCCTCGGCGATGTCGCGCAGTGGCCGCTGGATGCCATCAAAAATGGATCCCAAAATTCCTGGGCCCAGCTCCACTGAGAGCGGCTTCCCCGTGCGCAGCACTGGGTCCCCAACCTGCACCCCCGCTGGCACCCCCCGCTCAGGAAATGTCACTGAGGGCAGGTGACATCGAGGGGACTGCGGGGATGGGGGGGGGGCAGGATGGACTGGGGGCAGAGGGAGGGGACAGAGGGGCTGGGTGGGTGAGGACAGGATGGGGGGCTGGAGGGACAGGAAGGGGACAGGGGAGGGCGGAGGGACAAGGAGGGAACATGGGATGGGGAGGACAGGGAGGGGACAGCAGGGAGGGGACAGTGGCAGGATACAGGTCTCCTCGTACACCTGGAGCGTGGCCATGTCCCCCTCGAGCCGGATGATCTCCCCCACCAGCTCCGCGTGTCCCACCCGCACCAGCTCGTACATGGCCGCGCCCGCCATGCGCGTGGCTGTCACCACTGCGGGGACAGGCCACTGTCACCCCGACCCTGCCCCAGGGTCATCACCCTCCCGGGAGCCCCCTGTCCCCATTCCAGCCCCGGGGGTCCCCTCTCTGGGTGCTCCCCCTCATCCGCCCCTCCCCTGCTTCCATTTTAGTGCCACAAAGGGACATTGGGGTCCCTACCCCTGGGTGTCCCCAGGGCATTCCTGGGGCATCCCCACGATGTCCCCACAATGTCCCTGTGTCCTACCCGGCCCTGACACCCCATGGACAGCTCCCACCAGGCTCTCCCTCTCGAGCTCCTCCAGCCGTGTCCCCCGGGTCCCCTCCATGGTGTCCCAGCACTGTCCCCAGGGTGGCACCGCCGTTAAATGGCCACGGGGACCGGCAACAACTGGCTGGGGCTGGGGACACCGCAGGTGTCATTGTGTACTGTCAACAGCCCAGGTCCCACCCCAGGGACACCAAGGTGACATTGCACAGATGACAGCCCTGTCCCCCCCTCCAGGTGACACTGGACAGGTGATAGCCGTGTCTGTCCCCCCCAGGTGACACTGGACAGGTGCTAGCCCTGTTCTCCCCCCTTCCCAGGCGACACTGGGGTGACACCACCCAGGTAACAGCCCTGTCATGTCCCCCCCCTCCCAGGTGGCACCAGCCAGGTCTTGGGCCAGGTGTCACCATAGGTGTGTCCTGCGTGCAGTGACAGCCGTGTCCCCACCCCTGGGTGACACCGGGTGACACCGGCACGCGCCGGCACGCGCTGAGCTGGCCCTGGCTCAGGGTGCTGGGGACACAGCCCAGCTGTCCTTGTCACCCCCGCTTCGTCCTCTGGCTCTGCTTCTTGGGGTGTCACAGACACAGTTTGGGGTCCCATGCCCCTATTTTGGGGTCTTTCCCCCATTTTGGGGTCTACCCACCTCCCCCACTGTGAGATCCACCCCCTCCATTCTGGGATCCCTCCCCCTCATTTTGGGGTCCCCCCTTGGCATTTCCACCCTTTGGGGGTGGGGGGGAGGTCAGTCCTGTCCCCACTTCCTCATCCCCCTCTTAACAAACCACCACCCAAAACTCGCCCCAAATCCACCTTTATTTACCCAAACCCGAGGGAACGACAGCAAATCCGGGGGGAATTTGGTGATTTCGGGGGGAATTCTGGGACTGCTGGGGGGGAAGGGGGTCAGGAGACCAGGACCCCTGTGGAGCCCCCCTTGCCCCCCTCGGGGCCGTCCCGGGGGGGCCCTTTGGGCTCCTCCTCCCCCACCAGGCGGATGTTGTGCCGCTCCCGGAACTCGTTGAGTTCCCGGCCCTTGGCCTGGAGCTGCTGGGCCAGGGCCTCGATCAGCTTGGAAATCTGGGAAAAACAGGGGGAGGCACCAGCTCAGGGGGGGCTGGGGGCACTTTGGGGTGCTGGAAGTGGTTTAGGGGGTGCTTGGAGGAGTTTTAGGGGAGCAGGGGGCAGTTTGGGGG